AAGCTTGCCCTATGATCTCTTAAATTTTGCTACAAATCAACATAAACTAGGAAAGGTAGTGAAGAGAATGAAAAATATCAAAAAGTGCTTTCCTTTGAGCAGTCTTTTCACATTCTTTGTATATATATGTTTTTGATTTTTTTAATACCTGCTTGTAGGTTCCAGTTTAGAGATACTGGTGAAAATGTGTCCATTCAAAGTTCTGCTCCTGTTACTTGTGTTTTGTGTGTTTGAAAATTTGTTAATGGGTCAGGTGGAATCCTCTGGGAAGAGGAGGACAAGATTCTTCACATGGGGGAACAGTGGCATCTCTAGGACATAGAAGGTAATATTCTTAGCCTGCAGGGTGTGGTAAAGATCACACCACAGCTGCATATTCCATGGGAATTGGAATAAAAGCTTTCTGTACGCTGGAGGATGCTGCTGCTTGGAAAGCCACTCAGGTGAATTTTCTTGGAAGCAAAGAACTGCATGCCAGAGGATGTATTGAGTGAAGAAGAGTGGTCATTACTTTATAAAACATATGAGAACCTGTACTCTGTTTAAGTGTGTTTCAGATTTTGAGAAGATCAGCATTCTAGTTAGTCTAATAAAACTTCTGTTCAGTTGGAAAGCCTTTTTTGTTTATTGTCCTTAAGAACTCTCACTGCAAGGAAGGAGATCTAGGCAGATCTGCCTCCAAGACCTGGCTGACTGCTTTGAGTCCCAAAACATACTTGTCTTGACATATAAACTTGTAATAGTACTTCAGGACTTCAGGTGAATTTTTGTAGTTGTGGGTTTTTTTGTTGTGTTTGTTTGAGTTTGGGTCTGTTTGTTTGTTTGTTTTTTGTGACATCCTTTTCCCATGGGAAAACGATCGATTATGATCAATTCAGGGAAGTGTCTCTGCATATTTTAAAATGGAATGCTAGTATGTTGTACTTAAAATATTAATATTTTTATTATATAAAAGATGTATAATCTTCTAACATATAATTCATTTAGCATTCCATATGTATGTAGGTAGTGCAGCTCTAGGTCAAATTCAGGTTATTTTGTTAAATTCTACTATCTTTTCATGGTTCCTGCATAAAACAGATATTTAGTACAAATCAAGGGTCTCTCATTATAATTGGCCTTAATTAACTAACCTAAAACACTGTCATAGGTTATGGAAAAAATTGTTGTCTGGTCACTCTCTTGGAAGGGACAGCCCTATGTGAAGGATGACCTTGGAAATTGAGGATGTGGTTTGACACATTTCATTTTGGCAGAAGTCCTTGACTGTGCTTTTGTGGGGACGCACACCAAACTGGGGCAAGCTGCACATTCAGGAATAACCCATTTAGGTATTGTGTTTGCTTCCCATGCCTCCTTTCCCTTAAAAAAGTGAATAAGGAATGTGTGAAAGATTTTGTAAGCTAGCATTGCAAAAAGCAAGTGTTGCATAATGCCTTTAACACCAGGTGCTTATTAGGATTTGTTAGAAGCACACTGTTTTTGCATGTGACATTTGTTCTTCCAAGTTCATTTGTCTGAGAAGCAAGTGCTAAAATTTTCTCCTCAGGTATGGATGCAGCATATACTGACATCTTGCCATGTGTAAGGGGTGAATGTAGGAGGGAAATCTGGTTTCAAAACACTTGTGTTGCAAAGCATTCATTCCATTTTTCAAAGCCTGACCTCATTGGTTTGATACCATGAAAAGCTAATGTTTTGCAGCTGTCTCTGGTAACAGAACTTTGCATGACCAGCGACAAAACAGAAAAAACCCACTGCAGTATTTCATAAATCATGACATTTCTGCATTAGCTAAATTTTCCGTTCAAAAATGTTTGTTACATAGTTTGTTTTATATCAAACCAAATAGCCTCCAATATGTGTAACCCAGATTTTTCAGACTTCGAGTTCTAGTGTTTCAAGTCCTAAAGATGTTTTTTCACTTGACAGATAGGGCCACAACTCAAAACAAGCAAAAATTACCAGTGTCTAATTCTGAGCTGCTGACTGTAGTTCAAAACCAACTGACTGTTAGAGGGCTTCAAGAGTAAGCTATCGTTGTAGTTACTCTAGCTTCTAGTGTGCCATTTATTCCAAGTATAGAGCAAGACAGGACTGTCCAACATAGAGATACACTGTTTGGGCAGCAATGACAATTATCATGGCTTTTAAAAAGTAGAATATATGCTAGATATTGTTTTGTATTTTGGGTTTGGGGGAGTACTTTCATTCCTTAGTTCTTTGTTCCTTGAAGTTATCTTTCTCTAATATCTTTCAAAGCTCCAGCAGAACTTCTGTATGCCTTGTAAGAAGTTTCTTGCTGAAAGGACAGACTTGTCTCTTTGTTACCATTATAGGGTTCATATCTGGGCCTTACTTCCTCTCTTTCTTCAAGTCTTTCTCTCTTGAATGGATTACTCAGGTCATTGTGTAGTTAGTTACTATAAACTTATTTAATTTGAAAGACATAGTGATTTTCCTTTAAATACAAAATACCTAGAAATTTTGAATTAGTCCATTTAAAAGTAGGAGGAAATAGCCATGTGAAAATTATTTCTGTGGTCATTTCATTGCTCCTTCTTTCCTTCAGGACAACACTGTTCTAATTTGCTGAGGAGAATAGTTAGAAATATTTTTCAAATACTACCTATTAGTCTCAGAAACTGTATTTGATTTAGTATTTTTTACCGTAGGAAGGCTACAGTTTAGGAAGCAAGCCAGTGTTTTCCTAGGAAGATAATTTTGGTTCTTAGAACTTTGTAGACGAGGTTAACCTTGATCTTCATACCAAAATATTGACAAGAATGTAACATAAATAATACATTTTTTTTTTTAGTGTAAGCATGCATTTCCCCCTAGTACTTTGCAGTTGTGGGATCAGTGAGCAGGATACTCTTCAGGGTTGTTAATGAGCTGTGTTAGGGGTACATATTTTCCTGCAGCAGTAGTAGTACTGAAAGCAAAACAAACTTGATTCAAATTTCAGGGACCATATTCAGACATTGCTTACAAAATATTTTCTATCTCTTGCATATGTAGCTTTGAATTGTGAGGTGATTAAAGTGTAACATTTCCTGCCTGGCTTTCAGGGTGAAACATGCTTGCAACAATACACAGTGCAGTGTGAGGCTTCATGGTAGTTCTGTCATGGGGTTTGGTACATTTGTTTTCACATAACCCTGTTCATACTGTTTCTGTGGGAATGTTTCGTAGGATTGTGCTCAGTTGTTTTTGAAATAGCTATTACTCTGCATTCTCAGAATAAAAGCCTTAATTCTCTTAAGTTGAAGAGCTGTGGAGAAAATGGGAGGTACCAAAATACAGACTTAACCTTACCAGTTCACGTCAAGTCCTTTTATCTTAGAGATGCCTATGCATTTTTTTCCATTTATTGAATTTTTAATATGCACTCTTTCTTCCTCTTTAGGATGAAGAGAATGGGAATAGACAAGGTATGTCTTGTTTTTACTCTCTTATAGATCCAGTATATTGAATGCTTCAGCTGTGTAATAGACATGAATTGCTGCCTAAGAGCTTGAAATTTAAAATTACTTCAGAGTGAGCCTCAAGCTCATTGATCACTCACTTAATTCTAGGTTATGCCAGTCAGTTCCCTTCCATTTTCATAGCTTTCTCCTTCTCACATTGCCTTTGTCTGCTTTCTTTTTTCATTCACACATGACCTTATTTTTTACAAATTTATGCTTAATCTCCATTGTAGTTAATTGAAGTTCCTTTTTGGTATTTATCTATTTTCTCATTCATGCTTCCTTTTTGCTGATATCTTACTATTGCCTTGAAAGAGTGAAGAATGTGTTGATTTAAGGAAGCTGGTTTTCAGATTGGGAACCCAGTCCCACTTTGTTTCCCCAGCCTGCCGTGATGGTGAGGTCCAGGGCCCGTGGGGTTATGTGCACTGAGTGCCCTGTGCAGGGTTCCCCTGGTGCTCTGCCTGCCAGGGGACAGCGTGGGCTGAGTGCTGCTTCTGGGGCGGGTTCTCCTTTGCAGCAAAGCCTGGTACCTCCTTTCAGGCTACCTTTAAATACCTCCTGTAGTTGGAAGACAAAGAATATGTCTGAATTCTTGTTTCCATTTATTTTGTGTAGCTGTGATACAGTAGAAGCGTTCTGGGAAATATGAATTTATTTGAACTTTCTTGCTTTTCTCTTGGAAGCAGGTGGATTCATCCATTTCATCCTCCTAGTTTTACTCAGCTGTCATCACGTGTGTGTTAAACAGTGGAAAGTTGATATCTTCCTACTTCTTGTCACTCCCCAAAACTTGAAGGATCCTTTATCTGTTTTGACATACAAAATTAAATGCAAGGAAGGGAAGGGAGTTGATCTTCTGTGCCAAACCAGTGTGGAAGACACCACTTGTGATCTAGAGAAAAAAGTTCTGTGGTGGTCTTGTTCTCACAGGGAGAACTGGGGCAGCTAAAGATGTCATGTAGGTCTGTTTATCTAAAATGTTACCTATTTTTCAGCAGAAAAGCAGCAGTGAAAAAAGTATTTATTTGGTTCACCATGGGACCTGTGAAGGTGGAAACAAGATTACTTTCTGGAAATTTTTGTGTAGCTTCTAAACTCATGAATCATACCTCAACTACTGCTTATTTATAGCACAATAAAATATTGAAATACAGATCAGAGACCACAAACGCCCTGAAAGTTAACAGCATTCTCCTAAAGGAGGGAAGGTTGGTCTTGTTGCCCTGGAAAGAGAAGAAAAAACTGAGGCAGAAGATGTAGATGTTTGGGAAACTTAACCTGCCAATTTTGTGTATTAAACGTTTAAAACCAGCAAAATGGGGCAAAGTGTGTTGGACACTGTTCTCCAGTGTTTGGCATGATCTTCGGGGGCATAGGGGGGATGAATCTGCATTTACAGTGCTGCAGGTC